AAGCAGACATTGCGAGTTGACTGGGTGTCTGAAAGGTGCCCTTCAGAAGAAAAAACAAGGTCGATCAGGTATTTGTCTGGAGAAGCATTAGGAGACGATCGCTCCAAAACAGGTTATTGACACGTTTGAAGACGGAGAGCAGTGAAGCCGTCGGAAATCCTTTCGTTAACAGGATGCCCGCAAGCGCTGAGCGTGCGCATTGGGATGTTTCAATAACATGGATCTTAGCGTCAGCATAAAGCTGCCTATGGAGTAATGAAATAAACCCCAAAACAACAAAGTTTTTTTCGTACAAAAAATCCTATATCAAATGTAATAACGAGCAATGGTTGGGGGAAGTGGGCGTGGGGCTGAATATTTGACAAATACATGCCAACGGGTATCGCAGTTTATAAGAATCCTAATTAATGCTTACCCCCCTCCCCCCGGGCTCACAAAGGCATATTTTTTTTTATCGCACCCTTGGACTTTATTAATACTCTTATGTCCCGACCGCTTTTACAAAGCAGATTTATTTCACCATTTCAGGAAAACAAAAAAGGAAATGTTACGCAGCAATTGCGCTTGCCATATTTAGCGCAGGTGTTGGGAATAATATTTCGTGAAATCAGTGGCATCTGGAAGCATTAAAACTAATTTTTTTTTCTTTTTGAGGCCCCCCGGTCGGGGTAGAGACTGAAATTCTACAGAATCTTTTGTCATCGGCAAAGAGTCTATGTGCCTAGTTTCAGCTTGATAGGATGACCGGGAAGTGGGTTAATTAAATTAGCCTTCCGAAGTGATTTGCCTTTAAGAAAAAAAAACACACACGAAGAAAGCTAAGTTGCCATGAAGGATTTAAACTACAAAAGTTTCACGTGTAAGCGTGTCCCGCAAAAAACGGTAACTTATGCTTCATGGTTCAGTGACGGTAAGCGTGTCCGCATAAAACGGTAACTTATGCGTCATGGTTCAGTGACGTTAAGCGTGTCCGCATAAAACGGTAACTTATGCTTCCTGGTTCAGTGACGTTAAGCGTGTCCGCATAAAACGGTAACTTATGCTTCATGGTTCAGTGACGTTGGGGAGATTTTCAGCCGATGAACTCACAGTTTTTTAAAACAAAATCTGACAAGGTCTGGAGCAGCTGTGATTTCTTTGTCGGACAACGACGAGCTGGTCAAATGGAATGTCAGTACAATTGTGTACAAATACATCAGTGTACAAAAAAACAAAACAAAAAACGAAGCAACCTTTGGCAATCATTGACAGCCGCTTGTTATTATTGGTAATCATGGGCATTCATTTGCAACCGTGGGCAATCATGGGAAATCTTGGGCAATCGTGAGAAATCATAGACAATCATAAAAAAAAATCGTTTGTAATCATTGGCAATCATGGCTAATCATGGGCAATCATTGGAGATCATGGGAAATTGTTGGCAATCAATGGAAATCATTGCAAATCATTTCAACAGGGCACAACTGCAATTCAAGTGACGTCCGATTCAGTTGCTAAGTTTGTCAACAAATCCCTGTCATCCTAAGTGATAACCAGGGAAACGTGTGGGTGAAACTGGTATTCCCTAATTAATATCTCTTTAAATTAAAAAGTCTCTCTCTACAAAAATATTTGCACTGGTGAGAACGTTTTAGGAAAAGTACCAAAATGTCATTCGGCGTTAAATGATTTAAAAAAAAAAAAGAATTCTAATTTTTCTTATAGATACGTTGACAATGAAAGTTTTCCTCATAATATAGGAATATTTCTACAAGATCAGATATTAGTTATCTTTGACCAGCCACTGACCGCAAGAGATTGATCGAATTACATGCACAAATCAATGGTCAAGCGGTGAATCAGCCCGGTCTTGGAAGGGGAGGGGGGGAAAGCATTAAGGATACATTTCCTCTGGTTCCGGAACAGACGGCCATATCATTTTTTCCAATCATGCTCACAGTACGAGATCTATATCTATTCCTGACTCTGCTCTTCTATTGTAATTGCACGTATGCTATGAAAAAGTTGCACCCGAGAAAAAAAAACAAAAGTTAACGTCGCCCTGTAACAGGCGGACAATAACATATGATGCTGTTCTGTTTCACAGTAACATAGCGGTCTAAACTGAGTCAATCCATGCTGGGGGACTGGAGTTCAATACCCAGAAAAAATCCAAGACAAGGAAAATCATCACTGGCAACCCGGGTGGCTTTGGACTCGTCAATCTTGAATGGCAACTCATCTTAGAGAAATGCAAATAAAACCCAGAGATCGAGTCCCATGGGCGGTATGACATAGACACAATAAAAATTCCGACAACTTCTGTGAAGTAGAAAACACAAGGAGCACAGTAAAACACACACGCACACACAAAAAAAAACCAACAAAACCCCACACACACACAGTGCTGGTCATCTGATGCCTCCTGGTCTATTTCCAGTCGTCTTGACTAAGTCTTGACATTAGAAATTAGCTCAAACAGGCAAAGGGCGAGAGAGTGAGGCTGACGAATCGAGCAACCCTCACTCAACTTACAACAAAATCCAGCTCAAGACAAGGCTACTGCTAATCTAATCTCTGAAGAAAAAAAAGCAGCAGCCATCGAGCCAGAGCTCATTGGGTTTTCCCCGACATATCCTCTCCTCCCTCTGACCCCAACAGCGCTAAATAGACGGGACGCGAAGCGGAGCGTCGCAGGAATTCCGCCACCTGAGACAGCCCCACCCACCCTTCCACGCGATGGACCGCGCGAGTGGGGCGGCATCAACGAAGGAACGCATGTCGACTGGTGGTGCTGCCGACCGTGCCAGTGGGGCGGCATCAACGAAGGAACGCATGTCGACTGGTGGTGCTGCCGTCCGTGCCAGTGGGGCGGCATCAACGAAGGAACGCATGTCGACTGGTGGTGCTGCCGTCCGTGCCAGTGGGGCGGCATCAACGAAGGAACGCATGTCGACTGGTGGTGCTGCCGTCCGTGCCAGTGGGGCGGCATCAACGAAGGAACGCATGTCGACTGGTGGTGCTGCCGACCGTGCTAGTGGGGCGGCATCAACGAAGGAACGCATGTCGACTGGTGGTGCTGCCGTCCGTGCCAGTGGGGCGGCATCAACGAAGGAACGCATGTCGACTGGTGGTGCTGCCGACCGTGCTAGTGGGGCGGCATCAACGAAGGAACGCATGTCGACTGGTGGTGCTGCCGTCCGTGCCAGTGGGGCGGCATCAACGAAGGAACGCATGTCGACTGGTGGTGCTGCCGTCGAACTTTCTCTGGGCCGGGATGGATATATTTAACAAAAACCCTACAAACACCGCTTCCCCTCTCGGGGTGGCGTCATACGCCCTCTAACAGGGATTGCTGCAAGTAATTTCCTCTTTGGGATTAAGTCACATCTTAGCTGGGACGAAACGGTTGCCTGGAAACAACCAGCCCCCCCCCCACTCACAGGCTGTATGACAGAATCATCGGGCATGGGCTGAAAGAACCAACCCATGCCTCACATCCATTAACGGCAAAACGTAATCATGTCCCGCCCCTGTTTCTGTCGTTATTTTCACGTGCACTGGGTAGGAACCATGCAGTTGTGTTCTTTCTATGGAAGATTCCATGCAAGACCTTTGGCTCGCTCACGCGGAGGTCCCTCACATGTGGATATTGTTCCCAGGGTAGCGCCCGGGGGTCGGTGGCTCCGTCTCTTAATCGACATGCCATCATGGGACGGGTGTGCCAATTAGATCCCCAGGGTTGGGACGGGGTGGGGTGTGTGGGCAAGGCTACTGCGCAAAACTTCGCAAAGTCAAGCCCTGGTCATCTATCGGGCGCGAAGCACGAACTTTAAAATAAGCACATAATTTTGGCTAAAATGAATGAAATATCTTATGTAAAAAAAAAAAAAGAGAAAGGTGACTCCTTGTTTGACCAGTCAGTGTTGATATAAGTAATACACTTTTTCAATGGTACACTGAAAAAATAAATAGATTTTGAATTAAACTCGGTTTTTAGCACTTAGCTTTCATAACGGTGCAGAAATGATAAGGAAACAAAAAATGTCATCAAAATAATTCAAGGTAGGACCTTTTAAATTTCTTTCAAATTGTGATACCAGGTGTGAAATAAAATCATGCTAAGCGGCCATTTTGTTCCACTTGTTAAAGTAAACAAACATTAAGACACATCCTGGCCCTGAGGCACCAGGAACGTCAAATGTTAATTTGTCCAGAGTTGGCTGGCAGATAACACAGTCAAACACGAGCTTTAAAATGTTGATTTAAAACGTAGGTGTTTTCTCCCCCTGGAAAGTCTCCGACATTCTTACAATGCATCGCTTCAATTTTGTGTCTCATTAAGTGAGCCTGGCATAAAAGAATACAATAGTTTCTTTTAAAAAAAAAAAATAATAAATAGACAACGTCTCTCATTACATCCAGCTTTAAATGCTTTTTTTAAAAAAAAATTAATTTGTCTCATTGCTTCCTCCAGTGTGACTGTTTTCATGAAATCTAACCATGTAAATGTTCCCTTGATTGAGACAGCTGGTTGCCTTGCAGCAACCAATAATAGTGTTGAGCTGCCTCACTGATCACTTAAATCTATGATAACTTTCGAAAACCTAAACATTACTTAATCAAATTTAAGTTGCTACAGATATGCAGCAGTATTCATTATTTAATGATGTACATATTTCTTCCAAACTTTTCCCTTATATCTGCCAATTATAAAATTGGAAAAATGTATGGTTTTAAATACATAAATACATTTTAAAAAATATTTACCATAAACTGTATGAAATAAAATATTTTTGGGGATGTTTTTTAGGTGTCGGGGGACATTTTCCCCTTACGCTGGTGATCTTTGTGTACAAAAAATAATAATTCAAAGTTTGACCCGTAATGAGGTATAGCACACAGTGGTAGGGGAAATAAATTATTTGCACATATAGGTATTGATCAAAACTTCAGGTAAGACTGGATACTATTCTCTGCTCACGCAAAATACTAAAATATCCAAGGAAAAAAAATAGTGTTTACTTACCGAGTAAATAAATGTTGGTGGACGTCGCCATATCCTTGTGGCTGAGCACGATCAAAGACAAGGAGTTGCCCAGGACCCCGGTGATGCAGAGAATGGGGTAGATGATGAGGCCGGTGACGAACTGGGACGTATTGTAGAACGACTCGTACTCATCGGTGCCGTTAGAGTCACAGCCTCGGGCCTCACCGGGCGCGAGGTGCAAGATTTCGGACAAGTTGGTGGGCGAAGGTACGGCCACTGGGTCGGGGCCCATCAGTTGCTGGAAGCTCATCTTCACGTCAAGGTTCATGGTGTCCGGTCAGGGATGACGCAACTTGGTCAAGGCGATCCGAGAACGTTGGTCTCGGCTGAGCAGTGAGTTATAAATACAAATGTCCGCATTAGGTTATCTTTGGACACATACTATTTATAAACCTGGAAACAAACTTATCACTGTTAGATGAAGCAATTTAGGCTTTCTGAGAACAATTACATTTCCATGTTAAAAAAATTGACTTTATTAAAAGTTATTTATGATTTTTTTGGTCAAAATAACGTTTGGATAGTAATTATGCTATGCTGATCACAAACTGCGCGCGCTCACACAGCTAAAATGAAACTCTCGAAGACGATATTATCGTTTAAAAAAACATTGACAGAAAACGTGGGTAATGGCGTCATTGCTCTGAGGCCTCGATTAGGAAATAGTCTCGACCTGCTTTCAGCGTGGTTATCATTTTTTTCCCCTTATTTTATGGCCAACTACCGTGTCATACCTGACCCCACAATGGACAGCTCTTCACGCCGTATGAGGTGGGTTACAAGCTCCTGGACGTCTGGCCCGAGCTGTCTGTCCTAGATGACCCCTGGGTCAAGATATCTGCCCTGACATTCGTCATCGTATTAACTGACAATTTTTTTTTCTAGTAACAACCTGGAAAGATATCCCTCCATCTTTTATCACCTGTCAGACATTATGACTAAGCTGAAAGTAATACTGTACGCGTATGCTCATGATTCACTTCTCACATTTCAATTCCAAATTTGCGTGAGAAATATTACTCTAATCTCTTTTTCTTTTTCCTTTTGTACGCTTCATACACAAAATCCTCATGTATATTTTTACGTCATGTGTGGCGTCTCTCCAATCGAAGAATTCATTTCCCAGCCAGTAACCACCGTGTTGGCTGGAAGTATTCTATTTTGATAGGAATCCACTCCTCACACGATTACGTCATCATTATAACTGTTAATTCAGTCAGACGTTATGCTTGAAGATTTTGTTTTTTGAGGAGTAAAGTCACATTGTCATGATTGTACATATCCTGATATGATCGTATTCAAAGTGTGTCATTGACGACAATTTTTAGAGACGAACATTGTAACAATGGTGCGCTTCATGAAAAAAGCAGTTCCGAGCTGCTGAATGTCAGTCGTGAAACTGGTATGTCCGACTGGTATGTCCGACTGGTATGTCCGACTGTTATGCCAGACTGGTATGTCCAACTAGTATGTCCGACTTGTATGGCTGGCTGGTATGTCCGACTGGTATGTCGGACTGGTATGTCGGACTGGTATGTCCGACTAGTATGTCCGACTTTCAAAAAGGCGCTCATTCAAGTTTCTTTCATTGCCCTATGTGGCAAACCAATGACGTGAAGTTGTTGTTAATCTTTCCAGATGCTGTTTTATTGACCTGGAAAATAGATAAAAACGATTATAAAGTTAGGAAGCAAATTTAAGTTACACCAAAAATTCCTCATATTTTTCTACATTTTTCTTTTGATATGGTCATTCTCTGTTATTCAGTACATACAAAAAATCACTGCGTCTTTGCACGTACGGGAAAAAAAAAAGATTTTAAACCTTATTTTACACACTTTTTTTAATCAATTTTAAAATCAATGTACTCGATTATTATTTTTTTTTCTTCAAATTGTGCAGAAACAAAAGAAAAGAGTATAATTAACGTAAGGACATGTTAGTTCTATTATTGAATATATTATGTCATCGGGCATCGTGTATGTTTGTTGAGAATACGGATCTGTGTGTCTTGGGTATCTTTTGTGAGCATTGGGAACATGGGTTTGTGTTGGGTAGGTGCGTTTGTACTAGAGACCGACCGAAAGTGATTTTCTGATTTCTGTCGAAGCCAAAAATAGGCGAAAGTTTAAAATAACTTTCGGCCGAAACTGAAGCCGAAACCGAAAATGAAACTTAGATATTTTGACATTCGTTCCCGCAACGAAAATAATGGGAGAAAGTATAAACATTTACATTTTTTTAATAAAAGATGAGATAATCGTGATTATTAATAAATAAACATCTAATATAACCTGTTGTTGTTAAAGATCGTTCAGTTTTTTGTTAATGATCGCTTAATTTGTTCTTAAAGATTGGTTAGTTTGTTCATAAAGATCGCTTAGTTTGTTGTTAAAAATCGTTTATTTTGTTTTTTAACATCGCTTAGTTTGTTCTTAAAGATTGTTTAGTTGTTTTTTTAAAGAGCTTTTAGTTTGTTATTAAAGATCATGTAGTTTTTTCAAAAAAGATCGCTAAGTTTTTTCTTAAAGATCGCTTAGTTTGTGTTATTAACAGATCGTTTAGTTTGTTCATATAGATCACTAAAATTGTTCTTAAAGATCACTAAGTTTGTTCTTAAATACTATTTATTTTGTTCTTAAATATCGCTTAGTTGTTCTTAAAGATCATTCAGATTGTTCTTAAAGATTATTTAGTTGTTGTTTTTTTTATAGATCTTATAGTTTGTTTTTAAAAATCGTTTAGTTTGTTCTTTAAGATCGCTTTTTTTGTTGTTGAAGATCGCTTAGTTTTTTTCATAAAGATCTCTTATTTTGATCTTATAGATAATTGATTTTGTTACTTAAGATCGATTAGTTTGTTCTTAAAGATCTTTTAGTTTGTTCCTAAAGAACATTTAGTTTTTATTTTAAAAATCGCTTAGTTTATTCCTATAAATCAATTAGTTTACTATTAAAGATCATTTCTTTTGTTCTTAAAGATCATTTAGTTCGTTCTTAAAAATCGCTTAGTTTTTTCTTTAAGATCGTTTAGTTTTTTTTATTAAAGATCGCTTAGATTGTTCTTAAAGATCACTTAGTTTGTTTTAAAGATCCTTTAGTTTGTTCTAAAAAATCGCTTCATTTGTTCTTAAAGATCGCTTTATTTGTTTTTTAAAGATCACTTTATTTGAATTTAAATATCGTTCAGTTTGTTCTTAAAGATCACTTAATTTGTTCTTAAAGATCGTTTAGTTTGTTCTTAAATGTCGCTTAGTTTGTTGTTAAATATCGCTTTGGCTGAGATGGCCGAAAGTCTAAGTCAATTTCGGCCAAAACCGAAAAAAAACCGAAAGTTACCTTTTCTCTTTCGGCCGAAACCGAGATTAAGCCGAAAGTTAGCTTTCAGTTTCGACCGAAATCGAAACTTGGCCGAAAGTGATAAAATGGCCACTTTCAGCGCCGAAACCGAAGCCGAAATCGAAATTCGGTCGGTCTCTAGTTTGTACCTGTCATGGTCAAGGGTGTCTGTGCGCGGAAGTCATGCTGGCGTGTTTTGTGATGAAATCCGCAGTGCCCGTGTGTGTTGCAATAAGGCATACAATAAAGCGTCCAGTAAAGCATGATATAAAGCAAGCAATAAAGCATGAAATAAATCTGAGGTGTGTTTAACGTGTGCTTGGCCCGTATATTTTGTTACGTCCCATACAACTCTATGTTTTGGGATATGGTCGGCAAGTGAGTTGGAATATGTTGGGTACATTTTCATTAGTGTGCTCCACACGTGTTATTTTGCGAATTGAGCAAGTATATTGCTGTGTTCAGTTGGCCAACCATGTTTCTTTAGCTAAACCTACGTTCATGCGTCCTAAACGCGCGTATGCAGTGGTTGTGTTGGGCACGATATGCATCTATACAAGATACAATTTGTCATGTGTCAGTACCGAGACCCGGGCCAAGAAATCAAAGGAGTCGTGCCCGTGAGCTGGTATTACTAATATTGATTCAATAGATCAACCTGGGCGAAATCCGACGTCATCGCCATTCTATATAAACAAGGGGAAAGCCGCGCACTGACATGAATTATTCTTCTCTTTGTGTACATCGAGGATCGCAAATTCAGCGTCTAGATCACTGCTTTGTGATCACAAAGAAACCCGCCAAATACTGGTCAAAGCTATAGACCACAATTAATAATAATTTTAAAAAAAACAAAACAATATTTGAATTCAGAGTAATAGTGACGTCCATGACATTGTGGCACTTGACTGTGATTTGGGATTATACGTTTTTCTCACAACAAACGACGGCCTAAATTAAAATTTATAAATAGCTTTATAGAGGCCCCTCCTAAAGTAAGACAAGTGAACGTGCTATAGCATTACCTTTGAATTTAAACTTGATCCAGGTTACACAGGCGTGTTTAGAACCACACGTTTTATTTGACGCTATAAAATAGAGTTGTTCATAACAGAACAGAATATACCTTAAATATATCATTCAATGGGATGAGGTGTACACAAACAAAAGTTCCCTTCATTATCAAAAAAAACGTAAGAAAATTAAATATCACACGGAAGCGATATTTTTAGCTATCTTAGTAATGCATGCGATTTCAATTCAAAGACCTTTTATTATTTTTTTAATGTTTACAGTGATACTTCTTCATAACAAAATATCTTAAAGAAATCACAAGGCTGATACTAAAATTACTAAGAAAATATGATTTATTTTTTTTTTAACTCATAAAAATACTATTCCCAGATACCCCTTTCAGCTTTCGGCACTCACAGTTTTTTTAAAACTGAAACCTTGTTGAGTATTACAATATAGCTCAAACCTTTTCAGCTTTCGACACCCCCAGTTGTTGAATTGGACCCTTCTTGGGCATCGGAATATAGATCAAAGCCCTTTCGGATTAAACCTCACTCAAACGGAAGGAAATTTAACACTCGGCAGAAATCATCAGACCGGCCAGAGTACACATACTTTTAGAGTAATCTTTGTTATTCCCTTCTGAGAATAAGTTCAATTCCATCTCCTAACAAATTTAATCAAGATGCAACAATGCCTCCGACTTTATTGGCAGCCAAAAAAAAACAACAAAAAAACCAACAACAACAACAGACTAGGCGATATGACTTAGCGCATCATCCGTCCGGGAATCGCACAAACATAAATATCGAACACCGATGGTTTACGCGACAGAAACACACTGAATACCTCCAGGATAATTTTAGCCCGTTCCTATCGCTGCAGACGGCGGCCATTTAAAACTTCGCCCTGGTTTCCGATTGGTGGCAATTGAGCTTCCGGTGAGAAGAAAGATGGAGGATGGCAAAACAGAGATCGGGGGGGGGGGGGGGAAGGGGGGGGGGCTGAAGCTCTAAGCAATTACACAGGATTATTCGGGCTCCAAATTTGTTGGCGGGGAAGGTGATTGGAAGGCAACCCTGTACTTTTATCGGCCATCTCAAATGACTCTTATTGTTTCATTTATCTTTCTTTATTAATACTTTTGGGGTCGATACAAATAAGCAATTTGGTGTATGGAAGGAGTAAGATGATAGAAGTTTTTTTTCCTGGTTTGGTTAAAGAGGGTTGGTAGGTAGAAATACCTAAAAATATTTTGTATTGTTCATTTGAAAAGTTTTTGAACCAAAAAAAAAATAGATAAATCTTCGGCATGCCTTATTAAAAGATTGAATTTAAAATGCCGCAGGCTAGCTTATATCTATTTTAAACTGACTCATCTAAAGGTTAGCACGACCTGATGCTACAACCAGTTTCCGTCTTATCGACATTTCACTAGACTTAACCCTATATATTACACCCCCCCCCCCCCAAATTATGGAATGAAGACAAAGACTCGAAAATGAAAATCTAACTCTCTA